GGGGGGGGGGGGGGGGGGGGAAGGTGTATCATTACAACTATCCTAAGCGGGTAATTAGATGTGTATTTACTATTCTACAGATGGCCCACAAGTGCGAGTATGGACTCACCAGTCGGTTTGCACACCTTCTAGGCTCCTTTCGTGGTCTAGCTAGCATTCTCTGGTGCTATTGTCGGACACCCGGTAGGAATAGCGACCGTTGCAACATTATGATAAACATAATGATCGTTTTTCTGGCTCATAACGTATGCGTCTGTACCATAGTAAATGGGAGGATTCTCCAGGCATGTAACATACAATGATGCATGAGGTCCCAACATTTTCATTCATTAAATCATGTAAAAACAACCTCTCCCATTTTCCTTCGTATCATATCATTTTACTACATACCTTTTAAGAAATGTATAAGAATATTGTATCATTCATATCATACATCATCTTATATCATATCATGCACATAACATGTCCTTCAACATATTATATTATATCATGCACGTATCATATCATAAAGCATGTCACAACATGTATTATATCGTCAAACATGTTACACCATAACATCTATCGTATCGTCAACACATCACATCATAACATGTGTTATAACATTAACATATCATATCATAGTCATATTATATTATAGACACATCATAGTCATATCATTTCATAAACATATCAAGTCATATCATTTCATAAACATATTATAGTTATATCATTTCATAAACATATCATAGTCACATCATTTTATAAACATATCATAGTCACATCATTTTATAAATATATCATAGTCACATCATTTCATAAACATTTCACACATATCAAGCATATGACACGTGCAGAACCACGGGGTATGTTTCATCATACAACTATCAATTTCTAACCATACCGATAATAAGGTCATTTACTTGGTTGATCTTAGCTGAAGTTCTCCCTAAATTCAAATGCTTGATGCTAGCTTAATGCTGCTTTTTGAAATTTTATTCTACTTAAAGAGTCTCACCATTATCAATTAGAATTCTAACGTGGGAATTGACTCACCAAATGTTACATAAAATAATTTAAACTTACTTTCAACCATTTAAATTAGCTAAGCCTAATTATGTATAAATAATTTAAATTAGCTAAGATGTAGTCATACTAACTTAAATGCTTCCAAAGAGTTAAACTAGAAGGAAAGGGTTCGAGTGTATCATACCCAAGCCAGATCAACCAAAGTGTTGGTTTAGAGTAGTCATAAAATGTATTCTCAGATTGGTCGTTAAAGTGGGATAATAAAATTAGCGTGAATGATCTTTCTTTTATAGTGGAGGTCAACTGAGGGATCTTCATTTTATAGTGAAGGTCAACTCTCCACTTTTGAACTTAAGGGTTCTCCCTTCTATAGTGGAGGTTGACTCTCCACTTCTCAACTTAAATAAGGTGAGAATATTTCTCCCCCTTTTATAGTTATAGGGGGAGGTCAACTTAAGGGATCTCCCTGTGGAGGTCAACTCTCCACTTCTAAACGGTTAATAATTTATTTATTTATTTATTTTTTTTGGTTATTATAGTTGTTACTATGTATAAGGATAACTCATGAAATTAAAAAAAAAAATAATAAAAATGATTTGTTTAAAGAAACTGTGGGACATAAATAAAAAATACAATAAAAATATTTTACTTAACTGAAATAGACTTACTTTTATATATATATATATATATATATATAATATTGATGAAGTTGGACGACCCTAGATTAAAAAAAAAAAATAATAATAATAAAATAATATATATATATATATAAATTGTGATATAATAATATTGCAACAAAGAGATAATAAATACACTCGAATTTAGACTTATCTTTTATATTAACTATCAATCTAATTTTGTGTCCACTATTTTAAGGGTTAATTGAGAATTCTGTCACCTATACTAAAGGTTGATAAAAAAGTTACAGCAAAAATTAAATGGTCAAAACATTTTGGACAACCATTTGATAAAGCTGGGTATTTAAATTCATTTACTTTCCACCTAGCCCAACCATATAAATGATAGATGGAAAGTAGAAAGAATTCTAAAAAGACTTTCACAGTCGATTTTTAACTCACACAAATATAGAAGTTTCAAAAAAATCATTTAAGAATCGGTAGAATGAAAACGACTTTCATGGTCGTTTTTTAACCAACACAAATATAGAAGTTTCAAAAAATCCATTTAAGAATCGGTAAAATGAAAACAATATGCTTTAAAATTACTCAAATATATGTATTGTTTATGAACATTGAACCCAATATGTTTTTGAATGTATGTATAAATCATAATCAAATCAACCTATCATAAATTATATTACGAAAAATAAATGGTATGAATGGTATGAATAATTTCTTGTTAGTTTATTCGAATAATGTGTTTAAAAATAGCATTAAACAATACTTAAAACAAAAATTTAAAATATATAAAAGAAGCTACATAAAAAACTAAAAATAATAAAATTATATAAAAGAAACTAATAAAAAATGCATACCCATGGATTTGAACCTGAGTATGAGTATGAGATGTTCTTCATGCTTGGCATGGTGCACAACAGTTGTTGTACCTTTGGGCATTCGACTACAACTCCAGAGAAGCTAGCTTGACGAGCTGGCCTAGGAGTGTATGAGCCTGCCTAGTGAGCCTGCACTCGTACATGTGGATTGTGTGTAGAAAAGTAGTTCACATTCAAATTGTCCACTAGAAGCCACCTAAAAGAAGACAATTTTAAATGATAGGTCTCATTCATGTTACATGTGTTTGTATTCTCTGACCCCAATAGTGGGTCACTTGTCGAGTATTTCTTAGAATATTAAAGTCTTGTGTTACTCTTATATTTTAGGTAAAGGCAAGACACCCCTCTACATTTATTTTGTAGATATAAGGTTAGCCTAGGACATTGTTTTATTTTAAAAATTACATCCTGCATATCGTAATGACTTTATTTCAATAGGAAATTTAGGGTTATTACACTATTCGCATATCAACACCTACCCATGGGATAAATCCACTATGTAAGGTAATCCAACTGAACTATCAAGTCACACCTTCCTAACCGACTTCATGCCTAACTCAGCAGTATCGTATCAGAGTGGAAACCAAAGTGGAAGCTCTATAGACACTGTATCGGTTGTTATTAATCAAGGAGGCTACTTTTGTTTTTCAAGGTTGTCATGGTGATCTTCTAGATTTATAGGAAAGTTTGGTAGTCTTGACATGGATTCCCGTCTCAAGGTTTCTCGGTTTCAACTCTCCAAGACTGCTTCAATTAGAAGCAATAGGGGCCATACCCATTTATTAGCTCTCACGATTCTAATGCACTCGAACTACTGGAGGTGTTTCATCCTAGGTTGTAGTCGAGTCAAATTGACGTTCTCCCCTACTCTTAATATGTTTCTACTACTTATTCTCTATAAGGAGAATCATATATTCAATCACCTTGAGTTAATGTACAGTAAATCCTGCATACAGTCACACATGCTCAATGTGGCGATAACATTCATCAAATACAAAAAGCATAAATACAAAAACTTTCATCCTCATTGTAAAGAATAATCTATTACAAGCAATAGAAAAATAATCTATTACATAATGCAAGGAATATCTTAGTTCTGCCAATATCAAGTGTGACTATTCTCTTGTTTACCCAATCGTCCTAAGTTCAGGTCATATTGAGTCTAACCACCTAGAGTTTGGTTTTACTAGCATTCACGAGTTACCAAATGATCCCTGAAATATTACTTCCAAGAATCTTTGTGATTACTTATATGATTGTTGTGTGCCTTCCCATGTTTTTTTTCTTGCCACAAGTAAGCCCAAAAATTCTGAAACTTCACCGACTCGACCTAATTTACACAAAAATAGGACTAGCATCTAAATCTAGACAAAAAAAAAAAAGAGATGAATGTATCTTAAAACAAGTAAAAACATAGTCCCCCACACCTACAAGCATGGTTGGAAGGCTTGCCATGTTCGTGGCCACGCACTGACAGGCGGGCAGTGCCTGCCTTCAAGCGAGCATAGAAATTTATCTCCAAATTTTGTTATGGTGAAACATGTTGTTCAATGATAGGTGGTCGAGATCGGGTCGATTCACATTTCAACCTTTGGGTACGAAGTCAGGTCACCACTTGAGTGGACAGGTTGGGTATGGAGAAAATTAGGTTAAGTAGAGGTCCACACCAGATCGAGTCGATTCACGTTTCAACCCGTGGGTACTAAGTCAGGTCACCACTTGATTGGGCAGGTTTGGTATGGAGCAAACTAGGTTAAGTAGGTCTACACCACCCGAATGGTAACACGTATCCGCGCCGGTTTGAATAC